TAAATACAGGCTTTGCCTATGATGAAGATACGATCTGTTGTGTTGTTTTTGAAAATTATTAGCTGTCTGCTGTTCAATCGTTCTTTTGGCAATATATATATATATATATATGTATATATATATATGTACATATATATATATATTTATATATATTGTATAAAAAGTGAACACTGACAACACTTTATTGAAATTCAAATTTAAAAATTTGTAGTAAAGTTTTAATACATTAAATAAAGTTTATTAACTTTATAGTGTTTGTCTAATATTCTAGTACAAAAAAATACCAGAAATTAAGTAAACATAAATATGTTATATGTACTCTATTAATGAAATTTTGTATTTAATTTTGTTATTACAGTAAAGGAATAACCCGTTCAATGAAATATTCTACTTTAATTAGATTGTATTCACTATTATAAAAATATACAGGTTTTACTACAATTCAATCAAAACAGACAAAAATATTCAGAATATTTTTCACGACAATTCTGTGAAAATGCAACATTTATTAGCTACAAGCATTTATTAAGTTTATTGCTTAATCTTTTTTAGATGAAATGATCACAGGCATCGAAGAACATGATTTTATGGCCAAAGTCACACCAATGGCAAATGCTATAAAAGGTAATATTGATATATTGAAGGAGTAGGGGAGGAAAAAGCCTGACTTGATGGCTTTGACAAGGGTGGAGAAATTGAGTGGAAAATGTATGGGAGGGGTGTCGATTCCTGTAGTTCGGAAAATAAGAATAAAAAATTCAAAAAACTAGTTAAAGTTAAATATTTTTCAAAACTAGAAAACACATCAGAAACCTGATATCTGAGTTTTCCTGACATCAAATGTTTAATATGATTGTATATAACTTGTATTATTATACCTACAGTATTAGTTTTATATTTGCATGAGGAACAAGAACTCTTTACCCACTCTATAGTAATTCAACATAATTTATTCCCAGGTTTGGGAAAAGTTCTAATCAAAAACAATTTGGTATACAATAAATTTAGATTTTATGGAGCTACTCATTTCCCACATTTTACATACAAAGTTTATTTAGAATGTATACAACAATAATTGGATTTTGCCCCATAAAACTGTTTTCGATATGAGATATATGGGTTCAGAAGATGGATTGATGATTAGACAAACAGACATTTTAGTGATCTACTAATGTTGTAGCAGGAGCTGTCATCATGTAACAACAGCTATAACAAATTCCTGGGTGTACAGTAGTACACACCCAATTGGAATGAACTAATGTTCTTAAATGCCTAGTTTCACATAAAAACAAATCAATAAATAAATTTTTTTTTTCCAGAAAAGCTAAGAAATGATGTAGGCCTAAACAATGAAGAAACTGTGTTCTTCCGCGGCTACATAATATCGCTGATTTGCATTCGTAATGCCTGCAGGTCAGGAGTCATTACTAACATGACAACAAAAGAATTCAACAACGCCCAAAAAATTCAAAGTGAATGGTGTGTGACCGTCAGTAACAAAACATGAAGAATATCATCAATATTTTATAAATTCGACCTTCCCCCACCACTGATCCGCCCCTGAAAGCAATGCTTGAAGCAGATTTTGTATATTTTTTTTCAATATTATTAATAAGATAAAGTAGGTGATGGATATGAAACATAACAATTATAATAAAATTTAGAAAAAAACTACAATAAATCAATTGTAAATAACCAAAGTACAATTAACTTGAAATTAGCTTTCAAAGCAGATGCAAATTTTCAACTATGCTTACGAAAATTTTTTTCTAAACTGTTCATAAAAAAATCAATATTATATGGTTTTACATATTTCATATAGCCCCATAATATAACACGTAATCACGAAAGCTCCGATAAGGGCAGTAGTCGGTATGTTTTACTATTAATCATTTTAAGAAAAAAAACTAACCAAATGTTTATTTTAAAAGTAGTTTTTTTTTTTAATATTAATCGTCTGGAAAAAAACATAAACCAATGAAAAAAGTAACCCAAGGTTAATAGTTAACAGTGACTCCTAGAGCTCATTATCAGAGCTAAAAAATGATGTAACAAGTTTTTTTTTTTTTTTTTTCTAATTAGATTAGCAACCACAAGACAGCAATCCAAGGGCCATAACATAGTTCACAACCAGCCTCAACCAGATGGTACAACATTCTTTGTATCTCAATATGGCCAAGCGAAGTTAGACCATGCCAAGACCTAACTAGGTTATGGCACCATTTAGGTGTCCGACAAGGAAAAAGTGTAAATTGTACACACTTTCGAAAGCAACTTGCCACCATGGTAAGACCCATTTCAACCTATGATTAATTCTTTCACTTGGATTAAAAACATACATAAATGTGCTTTATTTATATCATGATCGATCCATTCGCTTTTTAAAGCGGACTATTAGTGACACTTTTTAAGCGGCAGCCTGGTACCCCCTTTTACCTTTTTCCAAAATTGGTTTCATTATTTATAAATCACATATTAAAGCTGCTATTACATAAGAAATTATTGACTTATGTGATTATAGAATTAGGATTTCTTATTTTACAGTCCTGGCGTCAGAACAACGTAGAAAAAAATCGAAGACTGATCGCAGAATATATGCATCACTCACTGGAAACCCAAAATAAGTATTACAAGGCAGCACAAGGTGCTAAAGATGCTTTGAAAGCAAAGCGAATCCTAAAAAAAAATAAAAGGAATTGTACGTACTGTTTGCAATATGTTCTACTTATTAATAATAATAAAACAGCACTTATTACGTGCCATCTATCTACCGAACTATTCCAAGGCATGAAAAGAAAAATTATTGAAGACATTATTTGAAGAGCTACTGAAGGAAAAAATAACATAGACAAAGGTTAGTACAATGCAATTTAAAGAAGCTCTTCAAAACTTTAATATCGAGATTTGGATTTGCAACGACCTAGTGCACTATGATTTCAAATGGAGCTTGCCATGAAGAAACCAACATTAGTGACCCAAAGACTTACTTCCGCACATTGTTGCATTGCCCTACTCTGGGACACTTACATTATAAAACATGTTGCAAAAGGTTAAAAAAAAAAAATCAAAAATGATTACTTGGCAGAGATAGGTTCCCTGTCAGCTCCCGGGCACAGGCTGCATCCAGGGAAAACTTATTCAAACCCAAAGGGTGAGACTCAAGTCCATTTAAGTCTCCCAATTTACTAATATTATTATTATTATTATTATTATTATTATTATATCAATAACAATAATAATAATTATTATTATAGTTATTATTATTCTTATTTAATTATTCATTTATATTTATACTTTATATTTAAGGATATTATTTTAAATTTGTGTGTTTTTGTCATTTTGCATATATTTATCTAATTTGTATTCAAACAATTTTTCATAGTTTTAATAATGGTTATTTTTTATTAATTTATAGAGCATCAACTGCCCTTCTTGGTCCAGTTGGAATGGTTACACTCTATAAACAGAGTTTGAATAAAGATAAAACCAAAGAAAATTGAATATATTCATTTTTTTTAAATATAAGCTTTAAAATGTTGTAATTAAATGGGATTTACCTACCATATCCAATATATGGGTGAAAGTATTATATATTGCCACATTCTTATGCTAATTACTCAGTTTAACAATTAGTGCTGTTTTTTGTGATGGAAGGCCCTAGGTCATCACAAATCACAAGCTTCTAATATTAAAGAGATAAATATTAGAGTGGAATGACCTGTTCGAAGCACGAACTCCTGTAGACCAAACCAAACCCAGTACCATTACGATTTTTAATCATACGGGAAATCTATTCACGATCTATTAGTGAAAAATAATAAATTTACTGAACCCTAAAAAAAATATATGGTTTTTATTAATATATAATTTAGGACAAATGTACAGTTCTATAAACACTTAAAAAGTATCCAATAAACTTTCATATGAATAATACACAGGTACGCTTGCATATACATGTACACCTGAGAGAATGGTCCACCTCTTTTAACTTGTGTGTTGAAAATGAGACAGATTTCCCACATTTTGTGGACCGTATTGTGCATAATCCAGATAAAAATTTCCATCGTGAGTTGATTTCCCATACGATTAAAAATAGTAACGGTACTGGGTTTGGTCTACAGGAGTTCGTGCTTTGAACAGGTCATTCCATTCATAGAAGAAGCATTTTGATGGAGAAAAGTGTACCATATTAGCAAAGGTTTTCTGGGTCGAAACTAACTGTATAATAGATGTGACTGGCACTACAATATTATGGTTTATATTTTGTGAGGTTGAGGTTTTGAAATCCGTACTGATACACTTAATACCACTGTGCTAATGTATTCAATGCAACAGTAATATAAACTTACTTAAATTTTCTAAAATTGCACCAAATAAATTCACAATGCAAGTTCGATCAGTGAAAACTCACTGAGGATTTGCCAATGCAAGCAAAGAATACAATATTTTAATACATATTATTTTCTGACTGTTTCTAAGCATTGTTTTTATAACAAAACTTTTTTTAATAATATTTTCAGGTCATGGAAACCTACACCAAAAATCCAGCTATACAACACTTATAGTGGAAATATATCTACGACAAATTAAGAAATATCCAAAAGGAAAATAAATAGCTTATTCGATTGGTTAAATTAAAATACTTTCAAAATCATACACTTCTATTACCATTATTACATTTATTGTTATTGATATTGCCAAAAAAACAATTTTTTTTATTGATATTACTGTTATGGCCTATCAAAAGTTACACTGTGACTTGTTATTATACGCCTTTAATTCATTCAACTGTTTTGACAACATGCATGTATGTTAATAATCATTATAGATTTAAGTAATCACTGTGTTTACAGTTTGCCTTTTTTAAATGATTTTAACTCACCAATTAACTTCAAAGCTTTATTGAAATTTAAATTTAAAAATTTGTAGTAAAGTTTTAAAACATTAAATAATGTTTATTATCTTTATAGTGTTTGTCTAATATTTTAGTATAAAAAATACCAGAAATTAAGTAAACATAAATATGTTATATGTACTCTATTAATGAAATTTAGTATTTAATTTTGTTATTACAGTAAAGGAATAACTTATTCAATGAAATATTCTACTTTAATTAGATTGTATTCACTATTATAAAAATATACAGGTTTTACTACAATTAAATCAAAACAGACAAAAATATATGACAATTCTGTGAAAATGCAACATTTATTAGCTACAAGCATTTATTAACAGTTTATTGCATAATCTTTTTTAGATGAAATGATCACAGGCATCGAAGAACATGATTTTATGGCCAAAGTCACACCAATGGCAAATGCTATAAAAGGTAATATTGATATATTGAAGGAGTAGGGGAGGAAAAAGCCTGACTTGATGGCTTTGACAAGGGTGGAGAAATTGAGTGGAAAATGTATGAGGGGTGTCCATTCCTGTTGTTTGGAAAATAAGAATAAAAAATTCAAAAAACTAGTTAAAGTTAAATATTTTCCAAAACTAGAAAACACATCAGAAATCTGATATCTGAGTTTTCCTGACATCCAATGTTTAATATGATTGTATACAACTTATGTTATTATACCTACAGTATTAGTTTTATATTTGCATGAGGAACAAGAACTCTTTACACACTCTATTGTAATTCAACATAATTTATTCCCAGGTTTGGGAAAAGTTCTAATCAAAAACAATTTGGTATACATTAAATTTAGATTTTATGGAGCTACTTATTTCCAACGTTTTACATACAAAGTTGATTTAAAATGTATACAACAATAATTAGATTTTTTCCCATAAAACTGTTTTCGATATGAGATATATGGGTTCAGAAGATGATTAGATGATGATTAGACAAACAGACATTTTAGTGATCTACTAATGTTGTAGCAGGAGCTGTCATCATGTAACAACAGCTATAACAAATTCCTGGGTGTACAGTAGTACACACCCAATTGGAATGAACTAATGTTCTTAAATGCCTAGTTTCACATAAAAACAAATCAACAAATAAAAATTTTTTTCCAGAAAAGCTAAGAAATGATGTAGGCCTAAACAATGAAGAAACTGTGTTCATCCGCGGCTACATAATATCACTGATTTGCATTCGTAATGCCTGCAGGTCAGGAGTCGCTACTAACATGACAACAAAAGAATTCAACAATGCACAGCAAATTCGAAGTGAATGGTGTGTGACCGTCAGTAACAAAACATGAAGAATATCATCAATATTTTATAAATTCGACCTTCCCCCACCACTGATCCGCCCCTGAATGCAATGCTTGAAGCTGTTTTTTGTATATATTTTTTTTCAATATTATTAATAAGATAAAGTAGGTGATGGATTAGAAACACAACAATTATAATAAAATTTAGACAAAACTACAATAAATCAATTGTAAATAACCAAAGTACAATTAACTTGAAATAGGCTTTCAAAGCAGATGCAAATTTTCAACTATGCTTACAAACTTTTTTTTTTCTAAAGTGTTCATAAAAAATCAATAGTACATGGTTTTACATATTTCATATAGCTCCCATAATACAACACGGTCTAGTAATCACGAAAGCTCCGATAAGGGCAGTAGTCAGTATTTTTTACTGTTAATCATTTGAAAAAAAACCTAACCAAATGTTTAATTTAAAAGTAGTTTTTTTTTTTTAATATTAATCGTCTGAAAAAAAAATAAACCGATTAGTATAGTGAAAAACAGGGCCCCTGTGACCATTTTCCGGGGACCAAGGTTTCTCTGCTGATTCAGCACCACTAGGGTATAATAAAAAAATGAGCGGGGGTGAGCCTCCTGAAAAAGGGCGGATCATGTTTTTTGGTGGCCATTTTAAAAATGGCCGCTAAAATCAAGAGAATGGCTCATAACTTTACTTCTACTACATGAAAAAGGGTAAATCTGGTGTCTAACTATATGTTAGTAGGGTCACTGAATTCAATTAGACATGCTTCAAAAACCTAGGATGGCAGACATTTTGAAATTCAAGATGGCTACCATAGTAATCTATAAAAATCAAATATTCCAGTATAATTCCACTTCCTGTCGTTGAAAAATGGTAAATTTGATGTCTACTCATATGTAATTAGGCTCTCTTTAAGAATAACTTCAATAAGCTAGGATGACAGCCTTTTGGAAATCCAAATGGCCACCACATAAATTGTCAAAAATCAAATATTTTGTTATATAATTGCATTTTTCCTCGCTCAAAAATGTTAAATTTGGGGTCTAATCATATTTTATGATAACCCAAGGTTAATAGTTACCAGTGACTCTTAGAGCTCATTATCAGAGCTAAATAATGATGTAACAAGTGTTTTTTTTTTTTTTTTCTAATTATTAGATAAGCAGCCACAAGACAGCCACCCAAGGGTCTGTGTTACTAATCCTAGAAAAGGACTTGGTAGAAATGACTACTATGTATAAAAACAACCAGCCTGAACTAGATGGTACAACATCCTTTGTATCTCAAAATGGTCAAGGCGAAGTTAGACCATGCCAAGACCTAACTAGGTTATGGCACCATTTAGGTGTCTGACAAGGAAAAAGTGTAAATTGTACACACTTTCGAAAGCAACTTGTCACCATGGTAAGACCTATTTCAACCTGTGATTAATTCTTTCACTTGGATTAAAAACATATATAAATGTGCTCTATTTATATCATGATCGATCCATTCTCTTTTTAAAGCGGATTATTAGTGACACTTTTTAAGCGGCAGCCTGGTACCTCCTTTTACCTTTTTCCAAAATTGGTTTCATTATTTATAAATCACATATTAAAGCTGCTATTACATAAAAAATTAATGACTTAAGAACTTTAATTTCTGGGAAAAAACCACTTAACAGTTGATTAGGTTCGCTTTTTGGTTTTTCTCACTCTTTTTATTTTGTTTCTCTTTGCATCTGAAATGTACTGAAATTTATATATGAAAAATACCCTAGTAGTGTAATATATTTTTATTTTTTTGTTCCTTATATATGTGATTATAGAATTAGGATTTCTTATTTTACAGTCCTGGCGTCAGAACAACGTAGAAAGAAAATCGAAGACTGATCGCAGGATATATGCATCACTCCTGGAAACCCAAAATAAGTATTATAAGGCAGCAAAAGGTGCTGAAGACGCTTTGAAAGCAAAGCGAATCCTAAACAAAATAAAAGGAATTGTACGTACTGTTTGCAATATGTTCTACTTATTAATAATAATAATAACAATAACAATAACAATAACAATAAATAATAATAATAATAATAATAATAATAATAAAACAGCACTTATTACGTGTCATCTATCTACCGAACTGTTCCATTAATAAATTGAATTAAAATACATTATTTGATTTTTAAGCTGTAGTTTGTTGATATTCATTGTAAAACACAGGAAGACAAGAAAGTATAATACATACTCCTAGCATCAAAATCAATGGCGGTGCTACGGTGGGCCAGGGTTCAACAACACCCTGCTTCCCCCCCCCCCCCAGTTGGGGAGAAAACCACAATTTGTCCGGGAGAAACTTTTTTTTAAAAGGTATTTTTAACATATTAATAGACTCTAAAATCAATTATGCCTTTGAAATCCATACTTTGTCCTATTTTGGGGCCTCCGCCCCTTGGACCACTTTTGAAAGGTTTTTAGCGACGTCCGACTACACCCACTTTGTTCTCTTTTAAATTGCCACGAGGTTGACGACATTTGTTTATGTGTATGGGAAAAAAGCCTTTTTTTGGTGAAGGTTTGTATGCTTTGTTTGTCTTTTGTGTCTTTGTTATGAAATAAGTTTTTAAAAAGGTTTTGAACTGAACAATTATATTATTTATAACAGAACTGTCGACGAACACGAACAGTATTTAGCGATTTCGATATAGGCCTTCTGAAGACATTATTTGAAGGGCTACACAAGGAAAAAATAACAAAGACAAAGGTTAGTACAGTGCAATTTAAAGAAGCTCTTCAAAACTTTAATATCGAGATTTGGATTTTCAACGACCTTGTGTACTATGATTTCAAATGGAGCTTGCCATACAGACCCAAAGACTTACTTCCGCACATTGTTGCATTGCCCTACTCTGGGATACTTACATTATAAAACATGTTGCTGTTGTTTGGAAAACTTATTCAAACCCAAAGGGTGAGACTCAAAAGTCCATTTTGAGTCTCCCAATTTATTATTATTATTATTATTATTATTATTATTATTATTATTATTATTACTATTATTATTATTTTTACTATTATTATTAAATTATTCATTTATATTTATACTTTATATTTATGGATATTATTTTTAATTTGTTTTTGTCCTTTTGCATATATTTACCTAATTTGCATTCAAACAAATTTTCATATTTTTAATAAAGGGCCCTGAACATCAACTGGCCGTCTTGGTCCAGTTGGAATGGTTACACTCTATAAACAGAGTTTGAATAAAGAATAAAGATAAAACTGAAGAAAATTGAATATATTAATTTTTTTTTATATATATAAGCTTTAAAATGTTGTCATTAAATGGAATTTACCTACCATATCCAATATATGGGTGAAAGTATTATATATTGCCACATTCTTAACAATTAGTGACATTATGCTGTTTTTTGTGATGGAAGGCCCTAGGTAATCACAAATCACAAGTTCCTAATGTTAAAGAGATAAATATTAGAATGGAATGACCTGTTCGAAGCATGAACTCCTGTAGACCAAACCAAACCCAGTACCATTACGATTTTTAATCATACGGGAAATCTACTCACGATCTATTAGTGAAAAATAATAATAAATTTACTGAACCCTAAAAAAAATATATGGTTTTTATTATAATTTAGGACAAATGTACAGTTCTATAAACACTTAAAAAGTATCCAATAAAATTTCATATGAATACAGGTACGCTTGCATATACATGTACACCTGAGAGAACGGTCCACCTCTTTTAACTTGTGTGTTGAAAATGAGACAGATTTCCCACATTTTGTGGACCGTATTGTGCATAATCCAGATAAAAATTTGCATCGTGAGTGGATTTCCCATACGATTAAAAATAGTAACGGTAATGGGTTTGGTCTACAAGAGTTCGTGCTTCGAACAGGTCATTCCATTCGTAGAAGAAGCATTTTGATGGAAAAAGTGTACCTTTTTAGCAAAGGTTTTCTGGGTCGAAACTAACTGTATAGTAGGTGTGACTGGCACTACAATTTTATGGTTTATATTTTGTGAGGTTGAGGTTTTGAAATCTGTACTGATACACTGAATACCACTGTGCTAATGTATTCAATGCAACAGTAATATAAACTTACTTAAATTTTCTAAAATTGCACCAAGTAAATTCACAATGCAAGTTCGATCAGTGAAAACTCACTGAGGTTTTGCCAATGCAAGCAAAGAATACAATATTTTAATACATATTATTTTCTGACTGTTTCTGTTTATAGGTATTGTTTTTATAACAAAACATTTTTTAATAATATTTTCAGGTCAATGAAACCTACACTTATCGTGGAAATGTGTCTACGACAAATTAAGAAATATCCAAAAGGAAAATAAATAGCTTATTCGATTGCTGGTTGGTAAAATTAAAATACTTTAAAAATCATACACTTCTATTACTTCTATTACCATTATTACATTTATTGTTATTGATATTGCCAATAACATTTTTTAAATTGATATTACTGTTATGGCCTATCATATTTTTTGCATATTTGGATTCTTTTTATATTTCTCTTTGTTCAGGACCCCTTACTATCAGCTCTCCATTAATGGTGAGCTGTACGGACTACCCTCATTAAATAAAGTTCAAATAAAAATAAAATAAAAAGTGGCATGCAGTCATTAGATAATGTAATACTAGTTTTAAGCAGTTTTTAAATAATGCCATAAGCAATTTATGCAATTATTAATTAAAGTAATTGTTAGATCAGGTTGTTTTGACTAATGCAGTAAACAGTTTATGCAATCATTGAATAGTAATTGATACAAGTCAAAAATCAATTAAACTAATTATTGGGTTAGGCAGTTGTGGAATAATAAGCTTGAAAATACTATAAAGACAATAAGGTACACAAATTGATTTGTTTTATTAAAGTGTTACTTTATGAGAATGAAGAAGTAGGAACATTTGGCATTGGAGAAAGAAATGAAAGAGGAGAGCGACTACTAAAATTTGTTGCAAGCAGAAACCTGTTCATTAGAAACACATTCTTAAAAAATAAGAATGATAGATACTGGACTGGAAAGTCCTAATGCAGCAACACACGTCTTATTTGTAGGTTCTAAATCCCTATTTTTAGTTATTTATATTCTTTAAGCTATCTTTGTAAAGTCAAGCATATCCTGATTTGCATTTGCTACAACATGAGTATAACTTGAGTATATCATAAACTGAGCTTGCCACTTCCTTAGTTACAGGCTATCTGCTTAGTTAAGATGCTTAACCACAGTTACAGGAATAAATGGTAGTAGTGTACTGTACTGTAGATGGAAGTGTCCATATAATAAGCTGAGTACAGTATATTGAAGGCTGTTGTTTTAAGTTAAAGTATTGATTTAAAGCTGAAATTAGTCCTTGTAAGAAGGCTCAACCTTTGGTGAGTTACTTTAATTAGTTTGATTTTACTTGATAGGCATATTATTATGATTGATTATTTTGTTCTGTTGTTTATACCTGGCCTAGTATGTTTCTTAAACGTTCATTGGCATTCCTATGCATTACAGTTGACTTTGTCACTAGTAAATGTATCCTATGCCTAGTTAATCTAAATGAGAATACTGTACATTCATATTTTTTAGGACTGCATTTTGTATTCTTGAGTTAGGCTTAATTTATGAATATTTCATTTGAGAATTTTTTTATTGTTTTCTTTAACTGTTTCAGTTAATCGGCATATGGAAACGTTGTATCATTTGCTCTCCAAGGTCGCCCTAACCATTGGAGAAAACTACATTTTTTCCACAAAAGTAATGTTTTTGGTACAGAATATATGATGTAAAAAATATTAATCTACCAATTCGTGAAGAAAAAATTTTAAAAATCACTACAGTTTGTCGGAATATGCATATTTATAACAGCTCCTTACGCCGATTTAGATAGGGAATTTCAAGAAATTTGAGGTTTTTGGCTGTTCTGAGCTCATTTCTTACTCCCTCACTCACAGACTATTTCTTTGAGAATTGGCTCAAGTTGATTCGTGGAGGGAATATAATAAGCTTGAAGCTGATATAAAACTTAGTATGATTGGTTGGGTAGTTTTATCAGAAAATAAAAAATCCATCCAATCCACGATTGCCTCTCTTGGGGTAAAAAAATCTCTCAAGCGTGATAGTCCGATTTATTGGTATGACGTCATACTTCTGTTTACTTGACTTGTGTTCACCGTGTTTGACTTCTTTCTACATGTAATTTGGCCTTATTAATTATCAGTTGGATTTTTTGTGTGCTTTTATTACCTTTATTACAAAACAAATGTCCCAAGACAAGATACTTGCAGCAATTAGGCTATATTTCTGCAAAAAAATGCAATATATATTCTGGACCATTTCAAAGTGTCAATAGGGGTGTAGCGTAGTGCTAAGCCAATCCCGCCAACACAAAAGCGTGGACTAGGGGAAGAGAGATCCCAACATTTGTTCACTTTACAACATTGTACTATGTGTACTGTTAAATGTGTGTTCAAATACAAGTTTTAACAAAAGAATATTGACTGTGCAAATTGAATTTCGTTAGATATTAACCCCATAATGATCCATACTACATGTACAGCAGGGTTGATTTGACCTCAGTTCGCTGCTTTCTTGATAGCTGGACTAGCAAATGATAAAAAGTGGCAAAAACGTTTCCATATGTTGACGGTTTATAGTAGTTGAACAGTCAATTGAAGTATTTGATTGGTTTTCAAGAAGTAAGGAAACATAGAAACCATACCGAATTAGCAAGTGTGTCATTGGCTAATTACATTATTAACAAAGGCATAATTCAGTGTAAAAGGAAAGCTAGCCTAACCATTTTCTTAAATTGTTCAAAGAGATACATGTGTTCATTGATAGTTGACATTAACGATAGCTCATTAATTGATTACGTTGGTGGCGCTGTCGTTTATTTCCCGTACTTATATTGGTTATGAAGTTATAATAAAATTTTAAAATGGCGACCACTTTAGACGCCATCTTCAAAGCTCCAGGAGGATTTTTAGTATGTTATTTTACTCATGTTTCTGGACCTATCCTGAAAAATTCAGCTTGTTACGAGGCATTTCCAGGTTAAACACCAATGCGCTTGGACTATCTATACTCTTTGGTTTAGTGAAAATGAACCTGCAACAATCAACAAAGCCAGGAAAGAAAGAGAAACCAAGGGAAGTATTGGAGTTGCCAATAAAAGAAAGATAGCGATGTTTAACTTCTCATCTTAAGATCAAAACAGTCAAAAAAATTCACAAGCCAGTGTCTACACCTTACTGTGAATTGATAATGTTGGATGAAGATGGCTGTCGTCAAAAAAATGTTTACAGACTCGTTTCTTGGAACTGTCAAGAGGCCATTTTAAAGTCATGAAGGATCAAAGAAGATAAATAGGTCAATACTGTATAGTCTTGTATTGTTTTATCCAAAGAAACGAATTTATGGAATGCAGGCTTTACTGGTGCATTTCTTCCTTAAAACAGCCATTAATTTTAATCCAATTAGCTCAATAAATTAGTAAGGAGCACCAACTAAGCCTACAAATTGCGAGGAAACTTTGCAAACGTTCATGTAATCTGTAATATTTCATCTTTCAGACATACACTGGCAATGGCAGATTTTGAACCACAGAGAAATTGAACTTGATAAATCCAAACAGAAAAGACAAAGACAATGAAAAAAAGGATTATTGATGGGAAGGTTTGCCTAGGCATATAAGCAAACGTATTGCAAAGCCAGCCACAACACCAAAAATACAAGTTTGTTAGAGGCATGATTATAGATTTATTTTTAATTTGAATTTATTAATCAGACGGACTTCATAGCTTATCTGTAAACATCCGGCAGAACGAGAGAAGAGGTTGCCGTCAAGGGCAGTCGTATATACTGGAAAAGATTGTGGAGTTAACCCGGCCGGGTCAAAGTCTGCCGGGGGGGGGGGGTATTTTCCCCTTCTGACACCCTGCTGGCACCGCCACTGCATTAAGCCCCAATTTAATTTTAATTGATTTAATTTTAATCATCCATGCATGTCAATATTCTCAGAAGAGCCTCAGACATTTGGTTAGAAGCACAGAGCATATATTGCATTTCCTGATTCCTCAAATCAGCAACTAATATACATTGTGTCCAAGGACTTTTCTTTAAAACTGACTGCATGCTTTAGATTGAATTTTGCCAATAATTCTACGAGCGTAAAAGTCTCTGTAATCATCTGGCAATTCATGCAAAGTCTTTATGGCTCTGTCAGCGATCTGAATTGCTCTTGTTGCCGCCAATGGGTCTTTGTTTCCGTATACATCCTTATGGTCATATGCAGATGGATCTAAATGACGCCAGAATACGTTAACAGCTACTCCAAAGTCTAAGCTTGTAACATTATGGAACCATAAAGCTGAGAAAAACAGATTAGTAATTGTTTATATAGTATGTGCATATATACCTGTCTCTTATACACATCTAGATGTGTATAAGAGACAGGCTTGAAGCTGATATAAAACTTAGTATGATTGGTTGGGTAGTTTTATC